TCCAGCCAGAATGCGATGGCCTCCTTTTCGATGGCGCGTCGCACCTCCTCTAACTCCCAGTTCAGATCTGGCTGTTCGGTGACGAAGAGATGGAGGTAGTACTGCTGGCGTTCCTCGACCCATTCCCAGGCACTTCCGCCGAAGATTGAGCTCCAGTTGTTGGGTGGGTGTCTCTCGCCGTTGACCATCTTTGCGTCCTTCCAGATGTACCAGTCTGCTTTTGGGTTGGTTTTATCCTTCTTCGATTCCTGGAACCAGGCATGTTGGTCTGAGGTGTGGTTGACGACTAGGTCGAGGATTATCCTCATGTCTCGTTTGTGGCATTCTTCTATTAGGTTATCCATGTCTTCCATTGTGCCGAATGGAGGGTAGATGCCTTGGTAATTTGAGATGTCGTAGCCGTAGTCCTTCTGTGGTGAATCGTACATTGGCGAGAGCCATATGATGTCTGTGCCCAGATCCTTGAGGTAGTCGAGTGTGCTGATGATGCCAGGGATGTCGCCCATGCCATCACCGTTGCTATCCTTGTAGGATGCTGGCCATATCTGGTATGCTGTGCTGGTCTTCCACCAGTTAGGCTGCGGAGGCGTCATCTTGTGGTTTACCTTTGGTCTATGCCTGAAGATGCAAGTAGATGCACGAAAGAATCTATGACAGAACGCACAACAAGGGTATCAAACGCGTAGGAGAGGGTATCATAAAAGGATTATCAGTCTCTTCTGATTTCGGGCTATATACCTACGACTGTACACTCCCCGCCTTGCTCGTGCGGCTGTCTTACCCAAGGCGTCAGTTCAATTCCAAAGCATGAACCGAGGAAGTGACTGAGGTCTACTAGTGATGTAGCACTCGAGGATATATCGACGCCGGCATCCATGGCGCCTCAAGTCCGTCTCAGTCAAGCTTTGCATAACGACCAAAGTTTGCGCGAATAAAGCAGCGACGTTAGCTGCCCAGTACTTCGGTTGTGGTCGCGGACAGCCGGTCCAATCCTCCGAGAGTTTGAGCGCTCCTGTCGTTAAGACATACACAATGTGAAATCGGAGCAAGCGCCGTGGTGTGCATTACTGGGATGCGGGATGTCGTGCAGACGCGCATAATCATGTGTATTCTGCGGCTGGATGACCAGAGTACGAATGGGTGTCGAAGGGATGAAGGTGTCAAAGACGATAAATGGGAAGAGAAGACGCGCATGTCGCGCTAGGGATAAGCGTGTCTACGACTCGGCGTCGGCTTCCTAAGCCTCATGATCTCACTGCGCTTGTGTGCACGAGCTTTGCCGAAGCAAATGATATGGTGACAGCAAAGATACTGCGATTAAGTGGAAACATCTATACACAACCACCCGGAGGACCCGCCTGTAAGCGAGCAACGCCCTCTCCTGATATGCAACGCATCCCGCCCGCTCCAATGCATCATAAACAAAGTACTAATATGGTGTACAGCAGGCCATTCAAGGCCTGATCGTAGCTCACAGCTGCTGCTGCGACTCTCCTTCTTCCTTCTGCACATTGACCGTGCGAGCCCATCGCTTCCCCATTTCATAGGACGAGATCATAATGGCACAAGCTGGTGCAACCTTCATAGTTCTTGGTATCCAGCCTTTGAAAAGTCCGGAGGCGCCCTCCTCTTTCAAGATATGGTACAAGAACCTCGGCATGCTGAGCTCCTCCGGCACCAGCTTTCCTGCTTTCGCAGCTTCCTTGGCAGCCTGCACTGTCAAAGGTGCATCGTCGCCTGCGTGTCTGTAGACTTGTTGACGAGTTTTACCCACGTCAAATGGTGTAGTCACAAAGGCTGCAGCTGCACCAGAAATTGATCCAGCCAGAAAACTGTCGACAAATATCTCCATGTGACTGCCTCCCGTGTGGTGAGCCTGAAATCTTCCTTGAGCTGAAGTTGTAATGTTGGCCAGCCCATCGTTCCTCATAGCACGCAACCTGTTCCGCAAGTCTTCGTAACCCCACCAGTACAATGCCGAAAATGGCACGTCTCTCCACATGGTCAGGGTCAAACCTCGCCAGAGGGACGTGTAGCCTTGAGTTTGGGTCATCTTGCGCATTCCTGCCATTGTCTCTTTGAAAACTCCTGTTGCACCACCCTGTGCGGATTGCATCCTCGTCCGGAACATCTCGATCGGTGAAACTGCGAGGGCAGCCAGTATGCGGGCAAAGGAGCCAGAAATAAGTGGGTTGTAGGTGTCATTGGATATCGTCCTGACAGGGCTCCTATGGTTGTATCTCAGCCAGTCGTAGCCTGTGAAGTAGATGACGTTGGCGGGCACTGCCATGACCAAAGTCGGGGTGAGTCCGCGCCATAATGTGAGAGGGCCTTCGTTCCTAGCGATCTTCCTCAAGCCATCGAAGGTCGAATTGATTGTCTTGCGCTGAGTCTCCTCAACAGCACAATCTGACGCTGCAATGGCAGCTGCATCTGTAGTTGCAGCCCCATTATTCGCGAGACAAAACTGACCATTGTCGCCAACGAAGAAGACTTCTTTGCAGCATGCCTTGACTCCTAGGTCTTTCGGAAGTTTTTCGAAATCTGCACCATATGCTGAGAAGCGAGTGAGGTTGATTGGTGGCGGTTGAGGTTGCGGATTTTGGGATTGTAGTCGTACGCGGACAACGTCGAGAGGCGTTACAAGTAATGATGTGAGAACACTACCAATGGTGGCGGAGACCATTCGCTGTGTCACCGTGATCTGGTCCTGGCCTGTTCCTGAGCTGGACATATTGTCTGTATCCTCCTTCTGCTGTGATACTCTGTCATGCCGTTGGCCTCCGTTTGCATCGTGGTAATCTTCGCCGTCGAAGAAGAATGTTTTGTCGGAGACTGTATTATAGGACATGCATTCAGAAGTGTCGAGCCTGCGCAAGCCGACAAGGCCACAAGAAACCCGTGAATGATACTGGTTGAGGTTAAAGATAACGTTGAGTGATAGGGAGTCGGCGCATCGACCGGCCGCGATGATGATGGAAAAAAAGTCGTCATGTCATTTCGCAACGAAGCTGCACCCGCGCGATCGGAAGTTTGTATCGCCTCAGGAATTCTTGCCGATGACGCTACCGCGCCTTCAGGTTAGTTTCGGACTTAACCAGCAAGAAATACCGACCCTAGTTAATGCCTCAGGCTTCCGTCAACGACAGTGACTCTTCGCCGTATCTCTTTCCTTGTGTACGCGTCAAGTAGGTGATAGAGATATCCTCAGATCCTACACTGATATTCCATTGGATCCGACCAACACGGATCAATCTTTATCAAGCTATGGAAAAGCAACCGACCTCATCGGATCTAGAGCAGTTCCGCCAGCAGTGGCAACAGGAAGTCAGTGCTCGGACACAACAGCAAGCGAAAGGCAGTAACAGCAATCATGTCCGTACGAAGTCATCGACAGATCAGGGACATAGACCTGAAAGGCTGATCAACAAGCCACCCGGACCACATCCACTAGCAGATAAGCACGACGAAGAGGTCATTCCGGAATCTTCTGCACAAGCAGTGCTGACTGAGCGACTTGGACACCTCGATATAGGAGACGCCGATGCAGACGAGTTTTCAAAGCTTGGTCGAGCTGAGCCAACGACGGCACTTGAGCACTACGAACGAGCAGTCGAGAAGGAAGGTCAAGGCAAGCTTGGCGACAGCTTATCTCACTATCGGAGAGCATTCAAGCTTGATGACAGCGTCGATCAGGCATATAAGGAGAAACACTTCGCCCACAAGTGGAAACCCTCCAAGCCCAACCCTTCCAATGCAGCTGTAACAGTGCCTTCAACCGCCCACCACTCGCAATCCGCCGAAGCTGGCAAACAAGCTGTACCGCAGACAACGGCTCAGCTTATTGCCAGCTTCGCAGATTGTGATATCGAAAATGCTCCACCCATGATCGAAGGTGATGCTCCACCCCCGTGTCCAATTCGAAAGTTACCGACCGAAGTACTTCTCGAGCTCCTCGACCATATTGCGCGTATCGACATCTCAATATACGCCCGACTAGCCTCAGTCTGCAAGAAGCTAGCCTACCATGTATACACGGAGTCTAGTATTTGGAAACGCATTTCGCTTGGCGCGGAGTTCGGTTTAGCCTCGCAGCAGTACCACTTCGCAACTGATATTCAGGGACGACCCATCATCTGGTCCGCCGTGGAAGACGAAGAGGAGGATATCGATGAGCGACCAATGCCACCGGTCACAGACGCACTCTTCCCAGCGAACCAAGACTGGCGAGAAATACTCCACTCCTACCCTCGCATCCGCTACACAGGAGTGTACATATCCACCGTGAACTATACACGATCTGGAGGCACCTCAGCGACACCGAGTACGTGGGGTAGCCAAGTGCACATAGTGACGTACTATCGATATCTCCGCTTCTTCAGAGACGGCACACTCATCTCTCTGTTGACAACTCACGAGCCAATCGAAGTCATACACCTTCTTACCAAGGAGAACATTGCCCTTGTCCGATCGGGCAAGACCGTCGACCCAATGAAGTTCGCTGGTGCTGGTCAAACACTCTCCCAGCAACCGAACATGCCGCCTCCACCAAGTGCGCAGAACATCCTCAAGCATGCACTCCGTGGACGTTGGCGACTTTGTCATCCATCGCTTGACTCAGCTGAGGTCGCATCGAACAGCATCGTGCCTGGAGACGTGCATATCGAGACCGAGGGAGGTGCCGGCCCACGATACCAGTACACCATGCATCTATCGTTGAAGCATGGCAATAATCGGAACAAGTTCGCGACCAAAAACAATAAACTGATCTGGAAGGGCTTCTGGAGCTACAACAGCATAACTCATGACTGGGCCGAGTTTCAATTGAGAAATGACAAGGCGTTTTGGTTTTCTCGGGTGAAGAGTTATGGTCTGGGATATTGAGTCTCGTTGTGATGACTACTTGAATCCGAACCTCGGCGTTGGCGTTGGCATTGTACTGCTCTGCAAGCGTGTTGGCCAACGAATTGCTTTTCAAAACAAACTCACTGCAAAAAGGATGCCGTCAGTCTGGATCGAACAGACGACCTTGAGCTTTCCTGAATGGAGAGGACAAAGGCGCCCAGGTTCTTTTCCTTTGTCTCGCATATTTCCATGAGGCTCACGCTCTTCCACTGAGCTATGACGGCTTTTGCTTGCTGTTGTGCACAAATTATTGGTCGTACGCTTATGTATCTTTGGCTCTTTGTTCTGATTGATTTCAGTTGATGGAGACTTTCGCGACGAGTGCTGCAAGTGTTACCAAAAAGCTGTCTTTCAGCCATTGTAATGCTCGCGATCTCTCCATATTCTAACGATCTGTAGCTTCTCCCACCCGCCTTTCGTACCACTGCTGCCGACTGTTTCTGCCAGCCAGGGTCCGTGTGGGAGTTCTTCTATGATCCATCGCTTGACTTCCGCGGGGTTGTTCTGTGCACAAAGCAGGACGTAAGCCACGCCGTGGGTACTTAACACTTCCGGAATCTGTGCGAGTAAACGGTTCGTAGTCTCCATGCCTGCCTCTCCACCATCTGTGGTTAGAGCTAACAGATGGGAGTCGTGCTCGAATTTGTCTCTGTATCTCCTTTCAAGGTCGGGCAGAGCAGGTAGCTCTTCGCTTGGCACATATGGTGGGTTGAAGACCAGAATGTCAACACTTCCAGGTCGTAGGCTTGAACACAAATCACCATTTACCGAACCAAGATAGGTTGACTTGCTGGACTGATCCTGAATAGCCTTGACCACAGTGGTCTTTGTGGCATGACAAGCATTGATGTTCACATCGACACCCACAGAGATGATGGGTCGTCCAATGATCTGCTCAGCGTTGGCTGTGAGAAATGCTATCACCACACCAGAGCCTGTTCCGACCTCGATTGCAAATGGCGTTCTGCCACGAAATCTCTCATGCAGCCATGCTACTTCGGTTGTGCTTGACAAGGTGTCCAGGAGGAGGAAGGAATCCTCGGATGGTTCGTAAATTGTGCTGAAGGATACATGAGACGTGTCAGGCGTAGCTAACATGACGGTCAAACCGCTCAAGACAACTGAAGGCAGCTACTTCAGCCACCAACAATGTACAGGCGATTCCCATGTGGTCGTGATCAGGATGCATCAATGATCAACTCGAGATTCCGCACGAGAATTTGAAAAGGAGAAATCAGGACTTATTCTCGTCGACATGGACCACCTTCGTCGAAGTTCCGTGACACTTCTGATGCTCGGTGTGCCTAACATCCCATTGCCTACTGGTACCCAACCGTGACAACGGCTGCTGTGTAAAGTCGCGATACTCTGAGGCATCCATGTATCGATGATATTACCTGCTAACAATGTGGTGAACTGAACTACTCCTAGCGGCTTCCGCTCCGGCAACCTCGGCGGAAGATCTCCGATGAAGATCATAGACGATGCTCGATGATGTCAAGCGAACCAAGAGCTTCACTGTACTTATTTTCCTTCGATTACGCTCAATCTCCTGTGTCTCCAGCAGAACTACCATCACAGCTCAATATGAGACTCTCGCCTAGATTGCTGGCGTCGCCAGTTACTCCAAAGCTCGTACCCGGCCAAAAACAACCCAGACTAGCCGTCCTCCCACCCATTCCTCTCTACCGCCGCCTCCTCCGTATTCATCGAAAAAAGCTTGGACCCGAGGAACGAATAATGGGCGACCTCTACCTCAAGGACGAGTTTCGCCGGCACAAGGATATCGACAATCCCATCCATATCGTTGGTTTCCTCAGTCAGTGGCAGCAGTACGGGCAGATGCTGGAAGGCGATGATTGGAAAGGACAAAAGATGGACACGGAGTTGCTTGAGAAGATGAGTGATCAGCAGATCGGACAGATGTACGAGCTTATGCAGGCTATCCAGCAGAGGGGTAGGGACAGTGTGAATGAGGAGACGGTGGATGAATTGTTCGATCCGAGCAAGAAGTGAAAATGTGTTGCGTGGATGCGATGACAACCTCTTACAACCGAACAACATATACGCAAGTCTCAGTCGCAATCGTACGAACACTCACAACGAACACCTACGTCTGCGCCATCGACTTCTGCTTGTTGACTGCAGCGTTTCCACAGTCACCAACTATCGATAGACATTCAAAGCATCGCTAAGAACTACGTATTCACCTGCGGCAATTTGATATCCGAAGATTCCTCAAAGCGCAAGCGTTCTCAGCCCCAACAGAACCCTTACTTGCAAGAACCGCATACCAGAAATCGATCTCGTCTTCTTGCAAAGCATCCAAGATGTGTCGCACAACCGCCTACAAATCCACAACCTGCGGCCACAGATGGCTTACCATCACAACACGCTGCGCACCCAGCATGGGATTCACCACGCCTCCAATCCACGAGTTCCGCTCTGACGGCTCCTTCATCTGGGGCAAACCGAAGTTCCAGAAAGCACCCGCAGGATCTTGTCCGAACTGCGATTTGAAGGGACAATACGATGGCAACACCACACGCATGGTGCTGGGGAGTGGCGAGAGGGAGATTCGGAACAATATGTGGCGGAGTGCGAGAGGTGAGGCTATGATGGGTGGAGGGACGATCGGCTATGGTTATGGATCCGCTGCTGTGGGAGGATATCAGCAGGCGATTGTGCCGTATCAGACAAGGGGTGTGAACGGGCAGGCTTTGACACTTTACCAGCAGCAGTTTGCGGCCAATCAGCAGGTTGCACAGATTGCGAGAAGGCAGTACTACCCTATGACTGAGAGATATAGGGTTGGCTATGGAAGTGGGCCAGGACAGTCTGGATGCAATGTCATGTGAAGATCACTGGGCTGAGATGCAGACAGATGAGCCAGGACGCTCTTTCTTTGGACGGCATGCCAAAACCAGCTGCCTATCAGGGACATACTCGGCGCCCGGACTTGTATTTTGGACAGTCAACTAATTTGCATTCGAAGATCAATCAATTGATCAATCATCATCAATCTCATCACCGACCCCGTCAGCATCTCCTCCTGTCCCGTCTCCCACCTCACTCCCTAACTTTACCCCTCTAGCCCCCTCCTTCTCCCTCCTCTCCTTCGCCCGTCTCTTCAACTTCCTCTCCCTATTCTTCTTATTCCTCTTCTCCTTCTCATGCTCCTCCTTCGTCTTACTCTCGTCGATTACCCTTTGTCGCCTCTGGGCCTTGAGCTTTAGTAGATCGCGCCTTTTCTTGCTTGGTCGGGCTCGCGCTCCGCGTCCGGCACTGTTGGGTGGGATTGGGGTGCTGACTGGCTTGGTGATAGTTGATGCGGGTTCAGCCTTGTGTACGACGATTTGCTTCCGATGAGCTGGCAGAGTTATGACGCGCCATGAGAGGTGAGTGCCGGGCCAGGGACGTGAAGATTGGTGCTGAATCGTGGCGGTTGTTATGGCGCATTGGGCGTACCCGTCCCGGAGATTTTTAAGCCTGGTCGGTGAGATAGACGCAGTGAAGTAGTAGCTGTCCGGCCTTTCAGTTCGAAACTTGAGGTTCGCAGGATCTGTAGCAGTGGGCGGTGATGGCGAGCGGAGGGATATCAGTGCTGGTTGTGCTTGGGAATCTGGCCGAGTAGCTGTTGTGGACTCGCTGTTCTTGGCTGCTGAGGGTCTAGATGTTGGTCGAAAGAGATTGAATTGGAGTGCTTCTTCTGCTGGTTGGGCGTCTGCTGCTTGGTAAATCTTTGATGTCGTGGCAGGGTGTGGCTCGATGAAGTCGTACTCGAAGCCGTAGTCTACTGGTCCATTTTCTTCTTTGCTGGATTGGTCGTGCTCTTCACCGGGAGCTTGTTCAAGCGAATCGTTTATAGGTCCATTGTCGGAGAGTTTCGTGCGCTTCACTCGTTTCGCTGCTGGTACCTCGAACATGTTGTCTGACGTCGTCGTTTAGATGGCCTATCTCGGGTCTGTGAGTGTTGGCTAGTCGCGCATTTGACTGTGCCGAAATCGCGCATCCCGTACAGTCTCCTGCCTCTGGTCTCAACGGCTACGCTTTATTCGAGTCTTATTGTTGATCGAAAGTGAAGACGCGGCAAGTGACCTTGCGCACCAATCAAATCACCTCGTGTACCGTAGGCAAGCTTTTCACGTGCTGATAGTGCTCGGAGAATTGACCGCCGACCAATTTTGCAACGATAAGGACTGACGTGCTGAGGAAGTTGTGCGGGCTTGTGATTACTTGTTGATCAGTCAAGTCTCGTGGTTAAAGGTCACTGACGGTGTCGACCGAATTGGAGATCAGCCTGAGCAGTTGAGCATTTACAACGGCATCAAAACTCTTTACAAAGGCTTTCAGCCAAACCACCCAGCGAGCATTTACTCTGCGCAACCGTTTCTACAAAATGTCCTCAACGGATCTACCTACCACTTACAATGGCACACCTCGCATAGCAGTTATAGGCGGCACTGGCCTCGAGTCTCTCGAGAACTTCCACCCGGTCGCAGCCCTGGACATTTACACACCCTGGGGTAGACCATCGTCACCAATCACAATCTCAGAACATCCAAGTCCGACTACAGGTCAACCAACTCCCATCGCATTCCTCGCTAGACATGGTGTGCACCATCAATTTGCGCCACATGAGGTTCCGGCGAGGGCGAACATTGCGGCACTGCGATCGATCGGTGTGCGATGTATCATTGCTTTCTCCGCGGCAGGATCGTTGCAGGAAGCAGTAAAGCCAAGGGATTTCGTGGTACCGGATCAGGTGATCGATCGAACAAAGGGTATCAGGCCGTTCACATTCTTTGAAGGGGGCTTTGTGTGTCATGTCCCGTTTGCCGATCCATTTGATGGCGGTGTTGGTGAAGTTGTGAGAAAATGTGGTCACTCATTGGAGGGAGAGGGCGTGACTTTACATGACAAGGGCACCGTGATCTGTATGGGTAAGTGTCCCACAGCATTGCGTTTTCATTGAGTTGAGTCATCGCTAACGCTGTTGCAGAAGGTCCACAGTTCAGCACCCGAGCAGAGTCACACATGTATCGGTCTTTCGGCGGTACAGTGATCAACATGTCTGTCTTGCCAGAGGCTAAGTTGGCAGCTGAGGCAGAGATCGCGTACCAGATGGTGGTAATGAGCACGGACTATGACTGCTGGCACGACAGTGGTGATGTAAGTGTCGAGATGGTCATGGGCCACATGAAAGCCAACGCTATCAACGCGC